ACATAATTATTTCGGAGAACTTCTTTTCCATTACTGGCTCAATTTTATTAATCAACTCCTGTTGATTATCGTTTACGACTTGTCTAATAGCTTCATGTAATTGAACCAAGTCTTTTTCGCTGTTATCAAATTCAACTTTGAATGTTTTAAGACGGATATCAAGATTTACTTTCGATGCATATATTTCTGTTTTATTATTTTTAGTTTCTATTTTTAAATCAACGCTCAATATTCCATCTACGTTATCTGCAAAAAAAATAGTATGATTATTTCAATGAAATAACAACTAAAATTATAAATTTTTTATATGTTAGTAAATCATTCTTAATTTTTGTTTAGAATTTTTTACTAACATATTTTAATGTAAGTAATGTTTTTAACGTAAACTTTCTCGTTTTAATGTAAGATAAACTGTTGTATGTACCTAGAGAAACGTGAATCATTCCCTTATTAACAAATGATACCAATATACGTATGTCGACGTCATACTTGGAGTCCACATCAATATGTTTTTGCACGACATCCATTACGAAATGAAGCCTATCGGAGGATGTATTAATAGACTTTATTTCGAAATTGCAAAATCCTGTTACTTTTACATCTTCAAGATTTAATTTAAGATTAGTTGTGTTGTAAACAACTATTTTGTCAATAATTATTGGCTCGCTAGGAGGAATGTCAAATTCCGGCATCCCTGTACAGACCCTACTCTTTGCAATGTTGGCGCTGTTCATAAAGCATTCATTATAATTGGGGTCTTTCCGGCCACACACATGAATGTAGGATGCTATGAAAAGTATAATATAAAATCTGTTTAATTTGAAACTTAATATTATGTTGGTTAAGATATATAAAATGAGTTGAAATACAACAATTATTTCAAGATGAAGAAAGTATCTTTTGTAATGTAATAAATGCGTAAGTACAATTTGTTCCTAATATTTATTATAAACTATTTTAATATTTAAAGAAATTGTTATTAAGGAGTCTCATCATCCCTGAGGTATCAAATTGATACCTAAATTTGGGATTTTTTTTGTGAGCAAATAGATAACTTTATTTAAAAGCTATCTAGAGCTATTATTGTACATAAATAAAAAACTAAAAAAATGTTTTTTTATTTTTTTGTGTAAAAATGGCGGTGCAACGGCCTATTTGTGGAATCCTTTTTTTCTGTTTTTTCTCAAAACGGTGTACAGGATTCCAAGCACACAGTTTGCTATTAAACAAAACACAAAGAATTTTCATTACCTATATGTTAAAAACTATAGGAGTACGAAGGGGTTTTTTAAAATATTGATTTTTTTCAAAATGGCAGATATTTTTACAAAAAGTTCGTATTTTTCAATTTTTGTCATACAAGTCCTTCGTAAAATAACTGCCATTTTAAGAAAAATCAATATTTGAAAAATCCTTACGTACTTCTTTAGTCTTTAATATGTAGATAATGAAAATTCTTTATGTTTAATTTATAGAGAACAAACCGTGTGCCTGGAATCCTGTACATCGATAGATGAAAAGCAATCCAGCAAGTGTGCCGCCATTTTAAACATAAGAAAAAGAAAATAACATTATATGGTTTTTTACATGTATGTACAATTAATAATGTCCTCTAAGATTTTATTTGAAGTTATCCATTTACCCATAAAAAATCCCAAACTTAAAGTATTATTTTGAAACCTCAGGGGTGATGAGATTCCTTAAAGTGTATAGATTTTATTTTATATTTTTAATAGAGTAATTGTTAATACTTTGTTATTGAATTATATAAAAATTATAATAAATAAATTCAAATGTACTTCTTAAATTAAACAAATACAGTCCGCGCCAAAATTTAAAGATCACCTATTCTGATTGCTAAAAATAGGCAAATTTCAAGAGAGTGTAACTTCGTCAAAAATGATCGTAATATAAGGATCAAAAAAGCATTTCACAGCTTAAAATCTCTACTTTCAAAATCCATAATTCATTAAATGACTTACTGATTCATCACAAAGCTGCACAGATGCAAACGGAGATGCATCAAATATAAAAATTTTTTACTAAATTCCAAAATTTCATGGAGTGAAATAAAAATCGCATACAAATGCGACTTACAGCATCAAAAGCGTGAATCTTTACTTTTAATTTGCGTACTCGATCAGCATTGTGCGATTTTTTTTGCCGAGTTACTCAACATTGAAGTAAAAATGACCATTTTTGCTTTCGTATTGAATAACTCGGTAAAAGAGAATGCTGATTAAGTACGCAAATTAAAAGTAAAGATTCACGCTTTTGATGCTGTAAGTCGCATTTGTATGCGATTTTTATTTCATTCTATGGACTTCGCAAAGTTCGTAAAAAATATCTGTCAAATATCATAATCTTCTCCAAACTTTTTTAAGGTTCCATAATCCAAATTAAAAATCGCACATAAATGCAATTTACAGTTTTCAAAAGCGTTAATCTTTAGCTTTAATTTGCACACTCGTTGAGTATTATGCGATTTGTTTTTACCGAGTTACTGAACATTGAAGTAAAAATGGTCCTTATGCTTCAACATTGAATAACTCGGTGACAAAAAATCGCAAAATGCTCAACAAATGCGCAAATTAAAAATAAAAATATAGGCTTTCAAATACTGTAATCTGCATTTGTATGCGATTTTTAATTCATGTCGAGGAGCCTTACAAAATTCGTAACAAAGTGTGTCGCATCTTTATTTCCGTATAACTCCGTAAAAGATCAACAAAACCTTATATAAGATCAGCAAATACTGTTATTTACGTACGTAGTTTCTCTGCAGCATATGTCGTCACAAAGAGAAAAACAAAGAATGCCGCAAACATTTTTTGAACGAAGATTTTCTTGCAGAATAGAAACACGAAATTACTCCGGAACGAGGAAATATACAACAAAAATATATAAAGAGTAAACTGGTCAGGCTTCTATGTACATTTCACAATCCCTTTTTTTGAACGTTTCTTCAATATTCATTCACATTAAAATTTTTACGGCACATGGATTATAGAATTTTCCTTCTACACTTTAATCGTTTAACTATGATACAGACTTAGTGTAATTTTCTTCTTCTATGCAGAACCATTTGCTCAAGTAATTTAAAGTGGGAGAACAGGAAAAATTATTTATGTAAGCGATGCAACACGCGATAAGCGTAGCGGCGCGACGTCAAGTACAATACATATATAACAAAAGTTAATTAGGTGATGACTTTTAATTGAGTATACGGTACTGGTACTATCAAGGTTGCTAGCTTTATCAAGCGAAGCGGTAGCGATGCGACGCCAAGTATATAAAAGTAGACGTTACCTTTATTTTAAATTTTCGTCTTGTCAGATTTTTAATTTAAATATCTCGAAAACGAAAGTTATAATAAAAAATCTAATGACACTTTTACATGATGTCGATACGAGCTTTTGATTGAGTCCGAATGAAATCAGTTTAATCAGTCCTGAGATCTCTCGACTTCAAGTCTATGAGAAGTGTCACTTCGGCGGTTCCAGTATTTTTCAGAGATGATTTAGTGTTCAGTAAGTTCGCCAAGGATTTACAACGCGTAAAATGAGCGACTATTCATCAAGATGCGTTTTTATGCAAGGTTACGTAGAGTAGATCAAGAACAACGTTTTCTTATCCCGGGAAAAAAAGTTTTACATATAATTATATATAATTATATGTGAAACTTTTTTTCCTGGGATGCGTCATCATTTTATCCTTGTTGTTTGTTAATAAGAATAAAACGTTTAACGCAATACCTTTTATAATAAATTAACGATGATATCTGCAGATAATTGTTAATTAAGATTTAGAAATCAGACTAAACTATTGCATTTGTTTAAATATGTTTATTATTTAATAATCGAATAAAGATATATCGATGATTCATCTCTTTAAGATAATATTGTTCAACAAAACAATACCATAACCGGACTAGTCATTTTCCAGAGTTTTTTTTACGTTGAATCCAAACCCGCTTATAGAATTGCTCTATCATGTCACAATTTTGAAAAACTTAAAATAAATTTGCAAAAAGGGCTATTTTCACATACACTGCTCAAAAAATTATAACAGAAAAATTTTGGGCAAAAATTGAACAATTTTGGTTAACGGTAACTCCGTGAAAAATCATCGTATGATGGTGAACTTTTTTTCAAATGAAAACTTGAAATCTCTACTTTAAGATACTGTAGGTCGATTTTAAGTTTAATGCACCCCTGCTATTGTAAACTCTTAAATCTGAGAACATGTTTGCCATACTGAAAATTGTAAAATTAGACAGAATGCACAGACTTGCTGAAATTTTTTGGCAATGCGGTTTACAGCTTTATAAAGTGAAGCTTTCTCTTTAATTTGAAAAAAAGTAGCTACAATTTTTTTTCACAAAATTACAGCATTTTAAAGTAACCCTTGTATTTTTCTCATGTATGGACGGCTTTACCCGATTTTATTTATCAGTTTGTAAATTATTGTAGCCCATATAACGATAATTTTAGTACAATTTGTAATTATAAAA